GAAGTCCCTGGGAACAATACTTTGAGTTCTGAGCTGCTCAGATTCTAGCCCTGATTTTCACGGGCGCAGGCCGAAATCAACCCTTAAATTCCGGGCTTGCTAGCAAAGCGTCCTTAAGCTCGATTCTTACAACGGGTTCTTCCCCACTCCTCAGCAGTAGGACCTATAGCCTCAACATCAGAGGCAACGTTGTAGGCAGAAAAAATATCCGGGGATTGGGGAACGGGCAGGTATTAGAGAGGGGGGGGGGGGGTTTCGAAACTGAAACCAAAACATGGATTCAGGTGAGGGCCCAAACGAGGCCCTTAACTGTTACGGGTGCCATGACAATCTAACACTTAAAACGGTCGAGCTGCTCCTAACCTAGCCCGGAATGTTCAGGGCATTAAGGGCAAATGCCCTTACTTCGACAGACCTGGTTCTGACTGTTGCGACTTGGGCTGTTCGGGCAGCTATCAAAACTGTAAACCAAATCAAGTTGCATCTTGAAGGTAGTGACCCCAGGTTCGGAAACCCTAGGCCGACTCGGCTACACAGTGGTGGGGCTGTACAAAAGAATGAAGCGCAATCGAACAGGGCCTTTGTGTAACAATTTCTCGTATCTGATTTTGCTAGATCAATTGAATTGCGCACTGTGTCAGTTTGTTTTATTCATTGACTACGCGGTTCTGACTGTTGCGACTTGGGCTGTTCGGGCAGCTATCAAAACTGTAAACCAAATCAAGTTGCATGTGGAAGGTAGTGACCCCAGGTTCGGAAACCCTAGGCCGACTCGGCTATACTGTGGTGGGGCTGTACAAAAGAATGAAGTGCAATCGAACAGGGCCTAGGTTCGGCCGTTCCAGAGTCTTTGGTGTATGGATGCAAGTGTTTCAGCTTGACTCGTCACTCCAGATTCGCCCTGACTCAGCAAATTCGCCTTTGAGACAGCAAATTTGCCCCAACAGAGCCGATATTTGCTCTGTCAGAGCGCAGCAGTTTCGTCCAATCACAAGAAATTTGCTCTGACACACCATGTTCTACACCTTACCCTCGCCAATGTCAACACCGAGGGCACCGGGTCACCCGCTTGTCGTTTTGCCGTGGGGTGGAAATTGGTGGGAATGAAGAAGTTTCCTCCGATTTCAACACCGAGGGGAAAATTATCGGTTCCTAAGTAATTCGAACCATGTTAGAAGGTTTTAACTCGGTTTAGTTTCTTAAATTGCGGTTCCAGGACCGAACCGCGCTCGTCGAAGGAGCACATGTGGAGACGAAGGTGTTAAAATTGGGGGGGGATGAAGTTGGCGAGGGTAAGGTGTACCAGAAATTCGCCCAATCACAGGAAATTTGCTTGGATTCACCATGTCGGGCGCACTGTTGTTGCCGACAGAAGGTACACCCTCTTTCTCGCCATTGTGAACTCGGTTAACAGTGGTAAAGTTACGTTTCGGTATGGTTCAATCAGACAAATCAAAGATAACAAGGTTTGCCACCAGTTCGGCACAGTTCAGTGTAGCGAGGAACAGGGTGTACTGAATCTTCGTGTGTGTAGGCACGTCGTGTGCACTGTTGGTAGCACGTCGCGTGCCCTTTTATCAATGCCACTTTGAATGACTGTTGCGCTATAAGAAATCTTGAAATTATGTTCAGCCTTTCTTTTTAAGCAAGGTTGAATGATCAGCCATTTTTCTAAACTTAACACTGAAATTTCAGTTTTTTTTTTTTTTCAAGGCTACCCTGATTGACCAGCCTTCAGCTCACTCCTAAGGCTGACCATTCAGCCTAGGCCAAAATGAATCTGAGGCCCTGCTAGACAAGTCCACCCACCTCCCTAGTTAATCCCTCCAGCCACCCAGCCAACCGCAACCAGCTAGCCAGCTGTCGCTCCCACCACATTAGTGCACCTAGCAGTAGCGCGCACCGTTCCAGCAGCACGTACAGCTCGATGTGCTCCACTTTGCTCTTCAGTCGATGCTCTCGACACTAGCATATTATGGCCTTGTCGTCAGCGAACAAGGTCGGTGCGGAGTAAGGTCGCTTACCTAGGTCAGTGAGCAAGAAAGCTAGTTAACGGAGCTTCTGAGCAACCATGGCATATGTGTAGATCTCAGCCTCGCTGTTGGACCGCGCCACAGTGGACGATCGTGTCGACATCTACGACACAACTCCAGAGCACAGGCCGAAAGGGTAACCCTGTGTAGACCTGCGGGTCTCCTCATCTCCGCCCACGATGAGGTGATGTGCCCGGTAAGTCGCACTAGCAGTCTCCCTCAAAGCACGAGCCCCATGCCTGATGTGGTCGCCAGGTACTTCGCCACCCTCCTAGCAGCCCAGTCACAACAACGCAAGCAAGGACGTTAAGAGGTTAGCCGAGGTCCGGTCCAGTGCACGTCATCAGGTACATGAGGCAACCAAAGGTTCAACTGATGCGCGGCGTAGCGCACCGCTAAGGGCCGCAGAAAATGGGGCGCACATGCACGGACCATGGAGGTACGAGCAACCTCCATGACCAAGCCTATGCGAACCCACCAACCCCATTCTGTTGTGGTAAGTCCGGGAGCATGTAGGACTGGGTGATGATCTGCTCGAGACAGAACTTGGCAAGTACGCCGGAGCAAATCACCCCCTTGATCGAAATATAGAGGAAACACGGGGAGGGCGCACTGGGCGCTAGTGGCCAACATCCACGAGATCAGAGACTCAAGCACGTCGACCTTCCGCTGCAGGGGGAACAACGTGGTCCACTGCCAAAAGCAGTCTCCAACAACAAGGAAGCAACACTCCTGGTGAGGCCCAACGATAGACATCGTGACACACATATATAATTTGAGAGTATACAAATATTTGGTATTTCAAGCACATATAAAACAACGACTAGTATTTCCCTAATTGTTTGGGTGGGAACCGATTATGTAGAGAATGATTTATCTCATGTTTAGGCCCTCACATTGGTTTGAGGGCATGCTGATGGATCAGTGTGCCCTCCCAAAATCGTGTCCAGATCAGTGTTAGAGGTTATGGTTATACTGATTTTGTTTGTGTGAATTTTCGAAGTTAACTGACCTGCCAGAGTAAAACGAAATCAAACTGGCTTTGCAGTGCTAAAGTTTTTGCCAAGCCGAAATGTCAGTGCACGAGTGATAGTTTTTAGATTAGCATAGCTAGCATAGCAACACAGTATGCAAACATCACAACATCAATAGTTGCTATCATTCTCATCATCATCATCGGTCTACCATCAGTCTCACTCTCACTACCACTAGCAGAAGAATCTGTGCTCTCGGGCTCTTGCACCACCCAACGACCACTTCCCCTAACACACTTGGCTCGTCGTACTGCATCTGCCACAGTTTGCTCTTTGTGCTTGCTGAGGCTGCCTCTTCTTTGTCCTCTTCCAAAGCTCCACCACCTGCTCCCACTCCATGTCGTAGACATTGTGACACACATATATAAGTTTAGAGTGTACATATATTTGGTAATTCAAGCGCATTTAAAATAACGACTAGTATTTCCCCACTTGTTTGGGTGTGAATCCATTATGTAGAGAATGATTTATCTCATGTTTAGACCCTCACATTGGTTTGAGGGCATGCTGATGGATCATCGTGCCCTCCCAAAATCGTGTCCAGATTAGTGTTAGGGGTTAAGGTTATACAGATTCTGTTTGTGTGAATTTTTGAAGTTAACTGACCTGTCAGTGTAAAAGGAAATCAAACTGGCTTTGCAGTGCTAAAGTTTTTGCCAAGCTGAAATGTCAGTGCACGAGTGATAGTTTTTAGAGTAGCATAGCAACACAGCACGCAGACATCACAATATCAATAGTTGCTATCATAATCATCATCATCATCTCCACTACCATCAGTCTCACTCTCACTACCACTAGCAGAATAATCTGTGCTCTCGGGCTCTTGCACCACCCAATGGCCACTTCCCCTAACACACTTGGCTCGTTATACTGCATCTGCCACAGTTTGCTCCTTGCGCTTGCTGAGGCTGCCTCTCTTTGTCCTCTTCCAAAGCTCCATCACCTGCTCCCACTCCATATAGTCTAGCAATCTCATGCTATCAAATCTCCCAACTTGGTGTTGCAGAGGCTCGTTGTCTACCAGCTTTTAATGGCATAGTAGCAAGATATCGTGCTAGATCCACCCACTGTCGTGAGTAATAGGAAGGAATGGATGAGTATCGAGAGGGTTGGGTACAAGGATGAGAACCTAAGGGGTTGTACCCTACATTGGCTACCCCACTACAGCCTACACCTAAGTATAATTCAATTATAGTTTGACACACCCCCATAGGCAAAGTGGGGGAGAACAAGGGGTCACAAGACCAGTCAAGAAAATCAAAGCAAGCTCAGGGTGGATCACAACGTCACCACACACTCCGAGCACAGGCAAAGGGCCACAAGGCCAGTTCACATGCAGAGTTATATAAAACAACAACAATACAGTGATCACTACCTAGCAAGAGCAAGCAAGCAGGAGTATCTATAGATCACAGTACAAGCAAGGTCACGAAGTGAGCAAGTGAGACGAAACAGGCACAAGGCCTAACATAGTACAGAAGCGCTGATAATCACCAGACGGAAGCGCCTTGGTGAATATATCAGCAGTGTTGGCCCGGGTGGCCACGTAAGTGAAATGAAGCTGACCACGCTGCTGCAGCTCTCGAGCAAGGAAGTAACGCAGAGCGATGTGCTTCATTCTGTGCTCCAGTCTGTGCTCCTGACACAAGGTAATAGCAGCCTTGTTGTCTACGTACAGAACTGGAGGAGAACGAGGCCTCTCTCCCAAGTCAGTCAGCAGGTAGGTGAGCCAGCGTAACTCCAGTGCAGCCATGGCTGTGGCGTAGATCTCAGCCTCGCAACTGGAGCTGAGAACAGAAGACGAGCGGGTAGACCGCCAAGAAACAAATCCTCAGCCAAGACTGAAAGAGAAACCTTGTGACGACCGCTGCGTAGCCAGGTCGTCAACCCAAGACGCGTCTGAGTGTCCAGTAAGTACAACGTCACTCCGTCCTCAAAGCACGAGCCCCATGCCCGATGTACTGCACAAGTAGCGCAACACCCTCTTAGCAGCCTCCATGTGCTCTCGCCGGTGTCTCCCAGGCGCAACGTAGCGAGCCAGGATGCTAAGAGGGTAAGCAAGGTCAGGTCGAGTGCAGGTTATCAGGTACATGAGGCAGCCCACAAGCTTTGGATACGGGCCACTCGGCTCTACGGACTCGTCCGAAGGTGGAGCTGAGAGCGAGTGACCAGTAGCCAGAGGAGTGGACTGTGGCGAGGACCAAGTGAAGCCGAAGCGCTGAAGGACCTGCTGCACCATGTGTGACTGAGTCAGGGTGATGGTGCGGTGTGCTTTGTCCTGGGTGATCTGCAAGCCAAGGTAGCTGCGCAGCTCACCCAGGTCTGTGCACGTGTGTCTCTTCTGCAGCTCCGAATTCACGTGGGCGAGTGCCTCAGTGTCAGCAGTGGCAAAGACCAAGTCGTCGACGTACACGAGGATGTAGAACGGCGGCAGCGAAGTGTCGGTGCGCAGAAACAGTGAAGGGTCAGCAGTCGAAGGAGCAAACCCAAGAGCCGCAAGTGTCGTCCTCAGTGTGTCGTGCCACTCACGAGGCGCCTGACGGAGACCGTAGACTGGCCGCTGGAGGCTCCACTGGGTACCAGGAGGGAACGACCTAGTGAAGCCAGGTGGGCGGCGCAACCAGATCTCCTCGTGCAGGCTGCCCTGTAAGAAGGCTGTGCTGAAGTCGAGAGAGTGAAGCTCGTAGTCACGCTGAGCGGCGACGTGCAGCAGCACCCGAAGAGTAGTCATCTTCGGGGTGGGGGAGAAGGTCTGGAAGAAGTCAACTCCCTCTCGCTGACTGAAGCCTCGTGCAACGTAACGAGCCTTGAAGACAGGAGGAGAACCCGGCGGCCGCTTCACCCTGAAAATCCACATGCCATCGACGATGTTCGCCCCAGGAGGAGGAACCTCATTGACGTACGTGCCTGTGGACTTCCAGGATGCCATCTCTGCGTCCATGGCTGTCTGCCACTGAGAGGAGTAGGGACCCGAAAAAGAGCGCGGGGTCGGGATGTCTGGTGCATCCGGGTCTCCCTAAGGGGCAAGCAGCATGGCCACGAGATGAGGTGCAGCGGCTGCAAGACACTCAAAGTCCTCCTGCCTGTCCTCAAGGACGTCCGTGCCAAGAGCACACTCACCCCCGACGGACGGAGGACATACAGACTCAGACTCAGCAACAAGACAAGCAGGTCTAGACGACAGGCAACAGCAAAGTCAACAAGCTCAGAGACTAAGGCAGACGCAGCAGCAGACTCAAACGATGGGTCAGTGACAACAGTGGCTAGCAGATGCGTGACAGTAGGGTGAGCAGCACGAACTAGGTCAGACTCAGGGTCCGGAACTTCAGGTAGAGAAGACGCAGGAGGAGACGGCAGGGGAACACGCTGTGGAACAGAGGAAGGACGAAGTGCCATAGCGTGCGTGCCAGGGACAGGAGGCGGACGCTCACGAGGAACACGACGACCAGTGCGACGCGCGCTAACAGGTGAGGCAGGACGAGACGCAGGCTCACGACGCTCTGTAAGCGAGTCGGTCTGCTCAGTGTAAGGAGAAGGAGCAGGCAGTGGTGAGCCTGGCTGTAACGGGAGGCCAGTAGAAGACGGGAGGCTAAGAACTTGGCGAAGCACGGAGTCATGCGGTGGCAGAGACGACGGTGACGGCGGAGAGAAGAATAGTCGCGGCTGTGTAGTGTCACCCGCACCAGTAGCGCCAGCGCCTCCAGCAACTCCAGATTTGCCAGCTCCAGCGCCTCCAGCAGCTCCAGAACCGCCAGCTCCAGCGCCTCCAGCAGCTCCAGAACCGCCAGCTCCAGCGCCTCCAGCAGCTCCAGAACCGCCAGCTCCAGCGCCTCCAGCAGCTCCAGAACCTCCAGCTCCAGCGCTTACAGCAGCTCCAAAACCTCCAGCTCCAGCGCCTCCAGCAGCTCCAGAACCTCCAGCTCCAGCGCCTCCAGCTCCAGCGCCAGAACCTCCTGCTCCAGGGTCTCCCGTCTCAGTACCTCTAGACGCAGCACCCCTAGAACCGGCACCTCCAGCTCCAGGCTCTCCAGCTCCAGTACCTCCAGCAGCAGCACCCCCAAAAAAAACACCTCCAGCTCCAGGGTCTCCAACTCCAGAGTCGACAGCACCAGCTCCAGGGCCTCCAGCCCCAGTACCTCCAGCAGCAGCACCCCCAGAACCGGTACCTCCAGCGCTAGAGTCTACAGCATCAGTACCTCCAGCAGCGCGACTCTGACGGCGGTAGCGCTGAGCGTACCACTCGCGTAGCTGCTGTCGCGAGAGAGGTGGCCGCTGCGACGCGGCACCAGGAGGACCGCCAGGAGACTCAGCACCCCCAGAACTAGCACCTCCAGCTCTAGCAGTACCGCCAGTCCTGGCAGCTCCAGTACCCCCGGTACGAGCACGTCCAGAACCAGAAACACCAGCACTCCCAGCGCCTCCACGACCACTAGCTCCAGCAACTCCAGCAGCAGAAAGAGGGAGACCCGGAGACGCCAGCAGACTCAGCACCCCCGAACCCGGTACCCTCTAGCTCAGCACCCCCAGGCTCTGCACCCCCAGGCTCAGCACCCCCAGGCTCCACACCCCCAGGCTTTGCACCCCCCAGCACCTCACGCACAGGCTCAGCACCCCCAGACGCAGCACCTCCAGGAGCAACACCGCCCCCAGCAGCACCAGAGTCAACCGGAACCGGCTGCAGAGGCGGCGAAGACGGTCGCGGCGGGAAACCCGGAGGGGTCTCCAAGCGTGGTGCGCGGCGGTAGGCCGCCAGGTCGTCAGCAGCAAAGTCACCCCCATCAGCTGGGCCAGAGGTGTCGGAAGTGACCTCCAAAGGCTCAGCCAAGGGGAGTGGGTCTACCTGAGACACACCTGAAGGAGCAGGACCCTGAGGGGGGGGGGTCTACCGGAGGGGGACCTGGAGCGAGGAAAAGCGGCGGGGGAGGGAGAGGGGCAGTGCGGTAGGGGAAGAGACGGTAGAAAGGAACCGACTCGTCAAAGGTGACGTCCTGAGAAGGGAAGACACGGCGCGAGGTGGGGTGGTAAAACTGCCAGCCAGGCGCGTCACGGACAAAGCCAAGGAAGATACAGGGAATGGTGCGGGAGGAGAGCTTGTCCGCGGACGTATCGCGGACAAGGGCACGAGCACCCCAGACCCGGAAACGCGACGCATCGCCAACCTCTCCCGTCCAACGCAGTGTGGGCGAGGTGTCCGGCAAGGAGACACGGGGCCAGAGGTTGAGCTGATGCGCGGCATACCGGACCGCAAACGGCCACAGAAAATGGGGAGCCGCCGCATGGATCAAGGAGGTACGAGCGATCTCCATGACCAAGCCAATGTGGCGCTCAGCAACCCCATTCTGCTGCGGTGAGCCTGGAAGCGTGAACGACTACTGGATGCCCTCCCCCTGACAGAAGGCCCGCAAGAGGTCGGAGGAGAACTCACCACCTCTGTCAGAGTGCAGACGCAGGACAGGAAGGTCCGACTGGAACCTGCGGCGGAGCTGGAGACGAACTGCTCGGATCCAAGGGATCAGGTTAGCAGGGACCTCGCCCTTGGTGCGCAAGGGGAAGACCGTGGTGTAACGCGAGTAGTCGTCGACAACCAGCAGAAAGTACCGCTCGCCGCCCTGTCCACGAACGCGGGCTGGGCCCCACACGTCCTGGTGGAGGGTCTGCAGGGGAGCCTCTGTCGGGGGAAACGAGGAGGAGTGAGGAGCGGCACGCTGCCGCCCCTCGACACAAGGAAGGCAGGGCGGCGCAGGCGAGGCAGGGAGGGGAGGGAGAGACCTGGGAAGACCAGACACAAGGAGGTGACTGTGCATGCCATGGAGACGCAGCAAGGAAGGTGACCCAGACGGTGGTGCCAGAGAAGAGTCTGGTGCGACAGGGAGCGACACTCACAAGGGGAGGCTACCAATCCTGACAGAGACACCTGACCGACAGCAGCGACCTGAGGAGACACAGTCGTCAGTGTGTAAAGACTCGACCCTGGCCGACGAGTGAACGTGGCCAGGTGACGGCCAGTCCGTGCGCACATGCAGATCGCCACACGCTGCCATGCAGGGGTGAAGGTATTAACCCCCACATCCTGAAGGGCAGCGTTGCTCACCAAGTTGGAGGTGGGTAATGAGATCGGCAATTGTGTCAAAGGTGGACAGCTCAGGAAACAGGTAGGGCAGCATGAGGCGGCTAAGCTCAGCAGTGGCAGGGGAGGTGTAGTGAGCAACTACAGCGTCCTACAGGGCCTTAGCGGTTTTGTGTTCGCCAAAATGCGTGAGCTCGGCTAACGGCAGATGGTTGCGAACAGCTAGGCGAGCAGCAGCATCACGAGTCTGCCACTGGGAACGGGCGCTAAGCTCAGCTGTGGCAGCAGGAGCAACTGAAGCACCAGACGTGCGGTCGAAAAGTGAAACATTGTCCTTACTATCGCTCATTAAGAACAGCTGTAGATCATCTAGCCAGGCTTCAAACTGAATCGGGCAGCCCTCAGTGTCGAACGACAGAACGCGCAGGGAGGCCATAGCTGCTGGCGCGGGATTGGCGGGGCAGAGCGATAGCAGGCAAACAGCAGTAGCAGGGGCGGCGCGCTAGGCTGAGGCAGGCAGCCGCAGGAGGTAGCAAGGCAGGCGGCACGCAGGGCTGCAGGGCGGGTCCCGCTCAAAGAGGTGCAGGGCAGCGGGACGGGCAGTGCGAGGGCGCAGCAGGCAGTCGCGGCAGCAGGTCGAGCGGCGCACGGGGCTGCGGGGCGGCGCAACGGGCGGCGCGCAAGCGCAGCAGGCAGCCGCGGCAGCAGGGTGGGCGGCGCACGGGGCTGCGGGGTGGCGCAACGGGCGGTGCGTGGGCACAGCAGGCAGCCGCGGCAGCAGGGCGGGCGGTGCTTGGGGCTACGGGGCGACGTAACGGGCGGCGCGCAGGCACAGCAGGCAGCTGCGACAGCAGGGCGGGCGGCGCGCGGGCGCAGCAGGCAGCCGCGACAGCAGGGCGGGCGGCGTAGCAGGCAGCGCGGCAGCGCGCAGGCTGCTAGTGGGCGGCGTGCGTGCTGGCAGAAGCCGCGCGCAGGCTGCGCATGCAGCTGGCGGGTCGCGCGGGCTGCTAGCGGACTGCGCGCGGGCCAGCAGAGGCGACGCGCGGGTCGCGCGGGCTGCTATCGGGCAGCGTGCGGGCCAGCAGAGGCGACGCGCGGGTCGCGCGGGCTACTAGCGGCGCAGGGGAAAGCAGGGCGTGCGCGGGGCTGCGCGACGCACGGCAGGGCAGGCAGGGCACGGGGTAACGCGGTAACCGGCGGAAGCGATTGGTGGGCCCTGAAAAACGGTCCTAAAACGGTCCTAAGGACCTATTGGCTCTGATACCATGTCGTGAGTAATAGGAAGGAATGGAGGAGTATCGAGAGGGTTGGGTACAAGGATGAGAACCTAAGGGGTTGTACCCTACATTGGCTACCCCAGTACATCCTACACCTAAGTATAATTCATATATAATTTGACACCCACATCTTGATGGAGGCGTCCAACTTGGGGATGAACAAGAGGGTCTTAAGGAGCGCAATCACAAGCTCAATCTCGATGTCCTTCGCCTTTAAGTCGTCGTTGAGTCGCCTGTTTACTCATAGCTCGTCGGTTCTTCTTCGTGCGCCGGTGCTTCCACATCACTTGGGTATGCACATCAGACGCACCCTCTCCTTTGCAGCCGAAGTTTTTTCCTTCGCCACCATGCTCCATGCAGACGGTACACTTCATGGACAGGAAGTCCATGCGTGTGTGACAAATCACAAGCCATGGAAAGTCGTCACACCATTGGTTTTCAAACGCATACATCGCTTCCTGATATTTCTCCTCAGCAATGTCAGGAATGCCGGTTTCGGAATTGTCAGCGGGTACCTTAGAAACGACACTTTACTTTCGAGTCCCAGGTGCGGAAAAGTTCCTGAGGCGTCCCATTAGGCAGTCCTTTACAAAAAGTGTTGCCATGTCCTTGTTGTGTTACAGCGATGCATATTATATTGATGTGTAGATTCTCTCAGTGCAGCGCACTCGGAAAATTTCAAGTGTGCAGGTGGTGTTTCGTAACTTTGGGGCTGAACTTACACTATACATGCATATCTCATACCCACCGAAATTCCAGTTAAGTCCAAATCAGTGTGACTCGATAAACTACGGTAATAACTTGGATATAAGACTCTAGGGTCTTACAAAAACTTCAAACAAAAAAAAAAAACAACAAAAAGGCCAAGGGGGTCTTAACATATGGTAATGCATTTATAAAACCCGTGCCTTAACATATGGATAGTTAGAAAAAGGAGTTATAAAATGAATGGAAGTTTGTTGTGTTTATAGCTGGTTCTAGTTCATGGTTTGTCCTCGAATAGGGGTGAGGGTTCAACAGGTTTCTATCCTTAGGCATTTGCTAGGTGGGATCAGTTTCGCCACTGGTCAAACTACTATTCATCAGCCATGGCAAAAAAAACTAAAACACAAAAAATGTACAACAATGACGACGCGAAGCCCACGTCATTTTGTCGAAAGGGAGAAAAAAATAAAAGTTGCCCTTTAGAAAATGCTTTGTTTTTAATGTCGGTATGAAATTACATGTTATCTGTTAGAATAAGGATCTTGGATAGGATTGGTCTGCCTTAGAGGGATTTGGTAGCGGAAGTCTTGTGGTAGGAATATTGTGCATAATGATTGTAAATGACAAGATTGATTAAAATATGAAATTATTCACAATAAATAGACATAACTAGCCATGTACTCTAAAGGGGTACATTCCCTTATTATAACTCTTTTGCAGGTATTCATACACTAACCCGACTATTGCTCTTCTTCTATTATCGGGTCGTTGCATGTAACTGTATCGACAGTTATGCCCATTGACATTTTTCGTTTAATTGCTCGGTCCAGATGGTCGACAATCGCAACTGTTGACCTTCCTGCCCTTGTATGTGCTGCTTCAATAGTGATGGGTGCGATACAGCTGTTTCGTCTATTTACTCATAGTAAACCAGCTTCGATAATGCTTAAGCCGATTCCCTTCTTACTCCAACACCCCCCTTCATTCCTGGAGGTGCTCCACGTGGCGCTTTTGCATGACTCCGCACAGGTCCGCGCAGTATTGGAACTTTTGACGTGGAAGCTTCTTCGTTAGGAAATCGGCTGCCATTTCGTCTATGGGACAGTAGGTGAGTTGGATCTTGCCCTTGTCAAATTTGCCTCGGACGAAGAAGTAACACAGGGCGATGTGTTTCGTGCGGTTGACGAAGCCAGGTTTGTTCGCGATCTTGATCGCGCTCTGGTTGTCGCACAGTAATTTGAATGACGCATTCATCGCTGTCTTCGTATCCTTTAGGAGCTCCGTGAGGTAGAGTCATTCGCGAACTGCTGCACTTGCTGCAATGAATTCGGCTTCTGCTGACGAAAGGGCGATAAGCTCCTATTTTTGCGAGTTCCAGGAGATGGTTCCCGCCGGTTCAAGTTTGAAGATAAAGCCTGTGCCGGATCTCATGTTCTCTACATCCCCAGCATGATCAGCATCTGCGCAGCCCCCTTCAGGTCGGAGCAGGCACTAAGCAAGTTGGCTGGCGATGTACGAGAGGTCCGGGCGGCATGTGACGGTGGCAAAGAGTAGACATTCGAGCTGCTGCTGATAGAGGCGATGATCGGCTAGAGATAGCAGGGTAGTGTCAGGCTCGTGATTAGGTGGAGGAATGCGAAAGGGGGTTGTGATGCCGACGGGAGCGATGTCAAATTTCTTGGCAAGATTCTCGGCATATTTCACGGCGGAGAGGTGAATCGTGTCGGCCGATTGCGTCACGTTGAGGCCTAGGAACTGGGTGATGTTGTGATTCACCATCACTTCGAGCTTCTGCTTGATGTCGTTCTCGAAGCGGTCGAGCAGCTCCACGTTGTCCACGGTGCAAAGCAAGTCGTCCACGTAGGCGACGAGTAAGATGAAGCTGCCGCGGGACTCGAGGCGGTACATCCCCTGGTCGTGGGGAAGCTGCTGCAAGCCGAGTTCGATGAGCACGGTGTGGAGGTACTGCTGCCACAGGCGCGGTGCCTGCTTGATCCTGTGGAGGGAGTTCTGGAGGAGGTAGACCGCCGAGAAGTTGAAGTGGGTCGCGCGGCTGGATGTGGGGGTGTCGGTGCGCACTTTGGCTCGCGAGAGTGGCATCCACTGCAAGTGCCTCGCCAACTGGAAGCGTGCCGCGGATTTCCTCAAGGAAGCCCACTCTGCCAGGAAGCGCATGCACGGTTCCGGGAGGGCGTCGTGGTACCGGCCGATGGAGATCAAAGTGTACGAGAAGCTCCTCGACTAGCCCCACAAGGGAACCGCCGTTTCCGTTGGGCGGCTGCAGGAGTGGTCGCGGGAGTTCATGAAGATTCTCTACCCCCTCGTGAAGTGGAAAGGTAGCCAGCAGTGGTCGGACCGGTTTCGGCGGCGGTGGAATCTCAGTGTGCGAATGAAGACGAAGGTGGCCCAGAAGACCGCTGCCCGTAAGAATCACCGTGGGTTCTTGTGTTCTATTCGTTCTTGTTATTTACTAACCGCCCCCGTTCGTTCTTGTGTACCCACCTCTTTTACCGTATCGCAAATGTCGCGAAGCAGTGTAAGAAGTTCTGGCAATCCGTCCGCGACAAGCGCGGAGAGCGCGGCATCGAGACGACGTGGATCATCAACGCCGACTAGACGTCGCTCTGGCTGGAGATGCCCGCCACCACCACCGTCGATCAAACCGGTGTTCGGTCGGTGCCCATCACGAGCGCAGGGTGCGAGAAGGAGCGCCTGACCGTGATGTTGGCGTGCACGGCGGACGGGGGGGAAGCTGAAGCCGTGGTTTTTTTTCAAGTGGAAGACTGTGCCGAAAGGCGTTTTCCCGTCGGGTAAGACTGGATTCTTGTTTGTATGCTTTCTGAGGTCTGATTTTTTAAAAAAGAAACTGACTGTCCGATGTTTGTTGTGCAGATGTGGTCGTGGCATGCCACGAGAACGGGTGGATGGACGTGGAGGGCGTTATCCGATGGCTTGAGGAGTGTGTCAAGCCCTTCTTGAAGCTCGCGTTCGGGAGGCATGCGTGGGGCTCGATGCTCGTACTGGACTCCTACCGCGGTCACCTCACTAAGGGGGTGAAGGAGAAGTTTTGCGAGCTCAACTGCGTGCCGGCAGTCATCCCGTCGGGCTGCACGGCGGAGGTACAGCCCCTCGACGTCTCCATCAACAAGAGCTTTAAGGCGAGCGTCCGCCAGCAGTACCAGAAGTGGTTTGAGGAGGAGGGCCAAGAACAGCAGACCACGGGCCCCCAGAGGTGGTCGTGAGGAAGATCTCACGGGCCTGGAAGGCAGTGCCAGCCGATCTCCTCAAGCCCGCCTTCCTCACCTGTGGCATTTGCAACGCGCTTGACGGCAGTGAGGACGGGCTCGCCATGGCGCACAAGCGGAGCCAGCTGACAGCGGAAGTGGACGTCGATGATGCCATCATCGCCGATGGCTTCTTTGGCAACAACTGCCAGGAGCCCGAGTCTGACGAGGAGGAGTAGATCTTACGTGTCAGAAGGCTAAACTACGAAACGTTTAGTTAGAAAAACCTGTCTGATGAAATTGTAGGTGCAAAATTTAGCATGTTAATGATTAGTGTTAATTGTTAGATATTTTATATATAAAAAAAAAACAAAAGAGTTAGTGGGGTGCACTTATAATTAGTACGGTCTCCAAAGGGGGTGCGCTTATAATCGAGTTCCGGCCATAAGTGCCATGGTCCAGATAGAAGCGCCGGCGCCCTTAACCGGACGGCGCCTATATCCGGGGTCATACGGTAGCATCTTTTACGTTGATAAATGAGGGCCTACTCATATTTCTGAATCTTAGGGGAAATTTTTAAAAAGGTACTAGCAAGGATAATGCATCTGTAACGCATATGTGAATTGTTCTCAAACAAGGCCCAAAATTGGTCTAGGCCCACCCTGTCTAATCTGAGTTGAACCCCGTCTCACCCTGACTCCCTAGGGTAATTTTTCTGTTAGGCTGACAAAAACAGTGTTTTTTTTTTTTTTTTTGCAGCCTGATGGAGTTAGTGTAACCTTTTACAAAGACTGATAGGCACGGTGAAATCTACGTTACACTGACTATCTAATACATCAACTGACTACGTAATTTTTATTGTAGCAATGCTTCTCACAGACAATGCTGGTGCATGTGCATGCATGGTTCACCTCCGTGCAACACGTGAAGATGTTGTGGTGTTGGGAGATTCTTGTGTAGCTGCGGATTAATAGGAATTTTGTGTGGCTCGGGGCCAAGGGATGGCCGCCCAATCGCGTCGCAGGGATGGGTGGCCGAGTGCCTAGGCCTGGCTTCGTCGTTTTCCTGGCGTGCCCCGCGTGAGGACACCGTAACCCGGGGCCCATCACGGGGCCCAGGTTACAGAGCCTCGCGTGGGATTACGGGTCGTTTTTCCCCTTTTGTAGCTGCGGACCAATAGCAACTTTGGCGCGCTGCCATGCCAAGTAAGGCTGGCAAACATGTCTGCCTTTGTGGCAGATATGTTGCCAATCAGTCCAATGATGGGGCTCTGCGCATCGGGGGAATTTTTTTTCCCAACGCACGTTGGGTACACAGCGCAGGGCGGCAGGGCGTAACGTGTGGGGTGCAGTGAATTCGGGCGAATCCTCGCTTACGGAGATTCGGTTTCAGGGTAACTCAGAGCCCACCCTTTCTACACAGGGAACCGAAACGGCTACGCTGATTTTGTAAGGGTAAAAAAAAAAGCATTAATTTGATCAGGGTAACTAGAAAAAAGCGGCCTACAGAAAGGGCAAAAAGGGTATTTTACCCTGATATTTTGGGCCCTGTTCTTAAATGGTATAATTATTCTTTAACCCTTTCTTGGTCGATACTTTGATACTTTTTTCATGAACTTTAGTAACGAAGCAGGACATAACGCTGTATGGATGATGTTGTTAGCGGTGAATTGCACGAACTTTGTTGTTAGGCGAAGAATGGAGCAGTCCCTCCCCTCTTTGGTTGGTTGGTTAATCAGTCGGTAGGATGAGCTGGGATATGAGTGTACAGTGTACCTAATAGTGTACACTGCACTGAAGGACGGCCTGAACCCGCGTCGCTCTGCTCCTCCTAATAACTCAAGGTCGGCTTCTGCAAAAACGTGTCCTTCCCACCCAGACTTTTGCTGCTAGCATGCTTCAGCTGCGTTGTAAGATTAGTACTAGGCGCTAGGGCGTTCAGTATGGAGCTTTCCTCGGAGGCAGCCGTCGCGTTTGTATCAAGCGTGCGTATCACGTTCGGTCTGCATTAGCATTGTACAAACGAAAATCTCCGTCTCGTGCTCAGTGTCAGGTCAAGCAGTCTACAGTCAAGACGCATTATGGCGGGTACAATGAAGCGAACGCGGAAGCTGCAGATTAGCTGCGGGGACGAGGAGGACGATGCGTTTCCCAGCCATGGGCTATGGGAGATAAGGAATGATGACGTAGACAGCGGCTCGACGATAGAGTCCAAGCCAGGCGGTGCTACTGGTAGTGGTAGCGGAGCTGAGCGGTCTAATTTAGAGACGTCCTTAGTAAGAGAAAGCTCAGTGATTCCTACTCCTAGCACCACCACCACCGTAACGACAAGCATTGCCGACTTTAACTCATCGAAATATGGCGACTCGGTATCTTCCGCTTGGGACCACATTTTAGGAAGCGACGCGACTCCCACCGGAAGCGGCGGCCGCGGGTTGCATGATTCCCCTCTCACTCCGACCCCGCCAACTCCGATACACGACAAAATTCTCCAGTCCACGTCGATCGAGATCGGTCACATCGGCACGCTGACGTGGCGCCAGCTGGCGGTTGACCGCGATTTGAGGCTGATTTCCTGGTGGCATCACGTGCCGCTTTACAGCCGCGACGGGCTCCTTAATTTTGTCTGCACGACGCCTATAGGCTCGTGGATTAAGTACGAGGTAGCTCAGGACGAGGAGTTTACTCCGCTACGCATCGCCCAATTCGGCAATAGCCCTACTAAGCCCGCGCATTTTGCAAAGAACGCGACGCGGTTCAGCCTAGGGTTTCTCCCGCAGACCTACGCGGACCCCGCGCAGCCCAACCCTGACTATGGCGGCCTGGCGTACCAAGGCGGTCCCATGGACGCCTTGCTGCTGGACCCCAACGACGCGTCGCAAGCCTCGTCGATTAGTCTGTCCAATTGTAGGCTGCCGTCCCGCGATTTACGGACAGGGGATGTTTGTCAGGTGAAAGTAGTAGGCGCGTTCGCGGTCGTGCAGCAGAAGAGCCGCCTTTCCTGGAAGCTTCTCGCCATTCCCGCGGCACCGGCTAGCGGTAGTCGAGGTAGCGGTGCCAGCGAGGATGACGTGGCGGATCAGATCAGTGACGTGGCAGACGTGCATGCGCTGTTCCCGGGCCTGCTAGACGACATTCGCGCATGGTTGAGATTCTACGACTGTAATGCATATGTGAATTGTTCTCAAACAAGGCCCAAAATTGGTCTAGGCCCACCCTGTCTAATCTGAGTTGAACCCCGTCTCACCCTGACTCCCTAGGGTAATTTTTCCGCTAGGCTGACAAAAACAATGTTTTTTTTTTTTTTTGGCAGCCTGATGGAGTTAGTGTAACCTTTTTCAAAGACTGATAGGCACGGTGAAATCTACTTTACACTGACTATCTAATACATCAACTGACTACGTAATTTTTATTGTAGCAATGCTTCTCACAGACAATGCTGGTGCATGTGCATGCATGGTTCACCTCCGTGCAACACGTGAAGATGTTGTGGTGTTGGGAGATTCTTGTGTAGCTGCGGATTAATAGGAATTTTGTGTGGCTCGGGGCCAAGGGATGGCCGCCCAATCGCGTCGCAGGGATGGGTGGCCGAGTGCCTAGGCCTGGCTTCGTCGTTTTCCTGGCGTGCCCCGCGTGAGGACACCGTAACCCGGGGCCCATTACGGGGCCCAGGTTACGGAGCCTCGCGTGGGATTACGAGTCGTTTTTCCCCTTTTGTAGCTGCGGACCAATAGCAACTTTGGCGCGCTGCCATGCCAAGTAAGGCTGGCAAACATGTCTGCCTTTGTGGCAGATATGTTGCCAATCAGTCCAATGATGGGGCTCTGCGCATCGGGGGAATTTTTTTTCCCAACGCACGTTGGGTACACAGCGCAGGGCGGCAGGGCGTAACGTGTGGGGTGCAGTGAATTCGGGCGAATCCTCGCTTACGGAGATTCGGTTTCAGGGTAACTCAGAGCCCACCCTTTCTACACAGGGAACCGAAACGGCTACGCTGATTTTGTAAGGGTAAAAAAAAAAGCATTAATTTGATCAGGGTAACTAGAAAAAAGCGGCCTACAGAAAGGGCAAAACGGGTATTTTACCCTGATATTTTGGGCCCTGTTCTTAAATGGTATAATTATTCTTTAACCCTTTCTTGGTCGATACTTTGATACTTTTTTCATGAACTTTAGTAACGAAGCAGGACATAACGCTGTATGGATGATGTTGTTAGCGGTAAATTGCACGAACTTTGTTGTTAGGCGAAGAATGGAGCAGTCCCTCCCCTCTTTGGTTGGTTGGTTGATCAGTCGGTAGGATGAGCTGGGATATGAGTGTACAGTGTACCTAATAGTGTACACTGCACTGAAGGACGGCCTGAACCCGCGTCGCTCTGCTCCTCCTAATAACTCAAGGTCGGCTTCTGCAAAAACGTGTCCTTCCCACCCAGACTTTTGCTGCTAGCATGCTTCAGCTGCGTTGTAAGATTAGTACTAGGCGCTAGGGCGTTCAGTATGGAGCTTTCCTCGGAGGCAGCCGTCGCGTTTGTATCAAGCGTGCGTATCACGTTCGGTCTGCATTAGCATTGTGCAAACGAAAATCTCCGTCTCGTGCTCAGTGTCAGGTCAAGCAGTCTACAGTCAAGACGCATTATGGCGGGTACAATGAAGCGAACGCGGAAGCTGCAGATTAGCTGCGGGGACGAGGAGGACGATGCGTTTCCCAGCCATGGGCTATGGGAGATAAGGAATGATGACGTGGACAGCGGCTCGACGATAGAGTCCAAGCCAGGCGGTGCTACTGGTAGTGGTAGCGGAGCTGAGCGGTCTAATTTAGAGACGTCCTTAGTAAGAGAAAGCTCAGTGATTCCTACTCCTAGCACCACCACCACCGTAACGACAAGCATTGCCGACTTTAACTCATCGAAATATGGCGACTCGGTATCTTCCGCTTGGGACCACATTTTAGGAAGCGACGCGACTCCCACCGGAAGCGGCGGCCGCGGGTTGCATGATTCCCCTCTCACTCCGACCCCGCCAACTCCGATACACGACAAAATTCTCCAGTCCACGTCGATCGAGATCGGTCACATCGGCACGCTGACGTGGCGCCAGCTGGCGGTTGACCGCGATTTGAGGCTGATTTCCTGGTGGCATCACGTGCCGCTTTACAGCCGCGACGGGCTCCTTAATTTTGTCTGCACGACGCCTATAGGCTCGTGGATTAAGTACGAGGTAGCTCAGGACGAGGAGTTTACTCCGCTACGCATCGCCCAATTCGGCAATAGCCCTACTAAGCCCGCGCATTTTGCAAAGAACGCGACGCGGTTCAGCCTAGGGTTTCTCCCGCAGACCTACGCGGACCCCGCGCAGCCCAACCCTGATTATGGCGGCCTGGCGTACCAAGGCGGTCCCATGGACGCCTTGCTGCTGGACCCCAACGACGCGTCGCAAGCCTCGTCGATTAGTCTGTCCAATTGTAGGCTGCCGTCCCGCGATTTACGGACAGGGGATGTTTGTCAGGTGAAAGTAGTAGGCGCGTTCGCGGTCGTGCAGCAGAAGAGCCGCCTTTCCTGGAAGCTTCCCGCCATTTCCGCGGCACCGGCTAGCGGTAGTCGAGGTAGCGGTGCCGGCGAGGATGACGTGGCGGATCAGATCAGTGACGTGGCAGACGTGCATGCGCTGTTCCCGGGCCTGCTAGACGACATTCGCGCATGGTTGCGATTCTACGACTGTAATGCATATGTGAATTGTTCTCAAACAAGGCCCAAAATTGGTCTAGGCCCACCCTGTCTAATCTGAGTTGAACCCCGTCTCACCCTGACTCCCTAGGGTAATTTTTCCGCTAGGCTGACAAAAACAATGTTTTTTTTTTTTTTTTGGCAGCCTGATGGAGTTAGTGTAACCTTTTTCAAAGACTGATAGGCACGGTGAAATCTACTTTACACTGACTATCTAATACATCAACTGACTACGTAATTTTTATTGTAGCAATGCTTCTCACAGACAATGCTGGTGCATGTGCATGCATGGTTCACCTCCGTGCAACACGTGAAGATGTTGTGGTGTTGGGAGATTCTTGTGTAGCTGCGGATTAATAGGAATTTTGTGTGGCTCGGGGCCAAGGGATGGCCGCCCAATCGCGTCGCAGGGATGGGTGGCCGAGTGCCTAGGCCTGGCTTCGTCGTTTTCCTGGCGTGCCCCGCGTGAGGACACCGTAACCCGGGGCCCATTACGGGGCCCAGGTTACGGAGCCTCGCATGGGATTACGGGCCGTTTTTCCCCTTTTGTAGCTGCGGACCAATAGCAACTTTGGCGCGCTGCCATGCCAAGTAAGGCTGGCAAACATATCTGCCTTTGTGGCAGATATGTTGCCAATCAGTCCAATGGTGGGGCTCTGCGCATCGGGGGAATTTTTTTTCCCAACGCACGTTGGGTACACAGCGCAGGGCGGCAGGGCGTTACGTGTGGGGTGCAGTGAATTCGGGCGAATCCTCGCTTACGGAGATTCGGTTTCAGGGTAACTCAGAGCCCACCCTTTCTGCACAGGGAACCGAAACGGCTACGCTGATTTTGTAAGGGTAAAAAAAAAAACATTAATTTGATCAGGGTAGCTAGAAAAAAGCGGCCTACAGAAAGGGCAAAAATGGTATTTTACCCTGATATTTTGGGCCCTGTTCTTAAATGGTATAATAAAATTTTAACCCTTTCTTGGTCGATACTTTGATACTTTTTTCATGAACTTTAGTAACGAAGCAGGACATAACGCTGTATCGAGGATGTTGTTAGCGGTGAATTGCACGAACTTTGTTGTTAGGCGAAGAATGGAGCAGTCCCTCCCCTCTTTGGTTGGTTGGTTGATCAGTCGGTAGGATGAGCTGGGATATGAGTGTACAGTGTACCTAATAGTGTACACTGCACTGAAGGACGGCCTGAACCCGCGTCGCTCTGCTCCTCCTAATAACTCAAGGTCGGCTTCTGCAAAAACGTGTCCTTCCCACCCAGACTTTTGCTGCTAGCATGCTTCAGCTGCGTTGTAAGATTAGTACTAGGCGCTAGGGCGTTCAGTATGGAGCTTTCCTCGGAGGCAGCCGTCGCGTTTGTATCAAGCGTGCGTATCACGTTCGGTCTGCATTAGCATTGTGCAAACGAAAATCTCCGTCTCGTGCTCAGTGTCAGGTCAAGCAGTCTACAGTCAAGACGCATTATGGCGGGTACAATGAAGCGAACGCGGAAGCTGCAGATTAGCTGCGGGGACGAGGAGGACGATGCGTTTCCCAGCCATGGGCTATGGGAGATAAGGAATGATGACGTGGACAGCGGCTCGACGATAGAGTCCAAGCCAGGCGGTGCTACTGGTAGTGGTAGCGGAGCTGAGCGGTCTAATTTAGAGACGTCCTTAGTAAGAGAAAGCTCAGTGATTCCTACTCCTAGCACCACCACCACCGTAACGACAAGCATTGCTGACTTTAACTCATCGAAATATGGCGACTCGGTATCTTCCGCTTGGGACCACATTTTAGGAAGCGACGCGACTCCCACCAAAAGCGGCGGCCGCGGGTTGCATGACTCCCCTCTCACTCCGACCCCGCCAACTCCGATACACGACAAAATTCTCCAGTCCACGTCGATCGAGATCGGTTACGTCGGCACGCTGACGTGGCGCCAGCTGGCGGTTGACCGCGATTTGAGGCTGATTTCCTGGTGGCATCACGTGCCGCTTTACAGCCGCAACGGGCTCCTTAATTTTGTCTGCACGACGCCTATAGGCTCGTGGATTAAGTACGAGGTAGCTCAGGACGAGGAGTTTACTCCGCTACGCATCGCCCAATTCGGCAATAGCCCTACTAAGCCCGCGCATTTTGCGGAGAACGCGACGCGGTTCAGCCTAGGGTTTCTCCCGCAGACCTACGCGGACCCCGCGCAGCCCAACCCTGACTATGGCGGCCTGGCGTACCAAGGCGGTCCCATGGACGCCTTGCTGCTGGACCCCAACGACGCGTCGCAAGCCTCGTCGATTAGTCTGTCCAATTGTAGGCTGCCGTCCCGCGATTTACGGACAGGGGATGTTTGTCAGGTGAAAGTAGTAGGCGCGTTCGCGGTCGTGCAGCAGAAGAGCCGCCTTTCCTGGAAGCTTCCCGCCATTCCCGCGGCACCGGCTAGCGGTAGTCGAGGTAGCGGTGCCAGCGAGGATGACGTGGCGGATCAGATCAGTGACGTGGCAGACGTGCATGCGCTGTTCCCGGGCCTGCTAGACGACATTCGCGAATGGTTGCGATTCTACGACTGTAATGCATATGTGAATTGTTCTCAAACAAGGCCCAAAATTGGTCTAGGCCCACCCTGTCTAATCTGAGTTGAACCCCGTCTCACCCTGACTCCCTAGGGTAATTTTTCCGCTAGGCTGACAAAAACAATGTTTTTTTTTTTTTTTTGGCAGCCTGATGGAGTTAGTGTAACCTTTTTCAAAGACTGATAGGCACGGTGAAATCTACTTTACACTGACTATCTAATACATCAACTGACTACGTAATTTTTATTGTAGCAATGCTTCTCACAGACAATGCTGGTGCATGTGCATGCATGGTTCACCTCCGTGCAACACGTGAAGATGTTGTGGTGTTGGGAGATTCTTGTGTAGCTGCGGATTAATAGGAATTTTGTGTGGCTCGGGGCCAAGGGATGGCCGCCCAATCGCGTCGCAGGGATGGGTGGCCGAGTGCCTAGGCCTGGCTTCGTCGTTTTCCTGGCGTGCCCCGCGTGAGGACACCGTAACCCGGGGCCCATTACGGGGCCCAGGTTACGGAGCCTCGCATGGGATTACGGGCCGATTTTCCCCTTTTGTAGCTGCAGACCAATAGCAACTTTGGCGCGCTGCCATGCCAAGTAAGGCTGGCAAACATGTCTGCCTTTGTGGCAGATATGTTGCCAATCAGTCCAATGGTGGGGCTCTGCGCATCGGGGGAAATTTTTTTCCCAACGCACGTTGGGTACACAGCGCAGGGCGGCAGGGCGTTACGTGTGGGGTGCAGTGAATTCGGGCGAATCCTCGCTTACGGAGATTCGGTTTCAGGGTAACTCAGAGCCCACCCTTTCTACACAGGGAACCGAAACGGCTACGCTGATTTTGTAAGGGTAAAAAAAAAAACATTAATTTGATCAGGGTAGCTAGAAAAAAGCGGCCTACAGAAAGGGCAAAAAGGGTATTTTACCCTGATATTTTGGGCCCTGTTCTTAATGTCAGAAATAACTGAGCAGGAATGGAATGAACTAGCACAGAGTTTGGTACAAGTAGGAAACCCTAACTTTGAGTACCCCCTAAGGTGTAACCCACTACAGCCTACATAATATAAACATGCAATGTTTGACACACCCCCATAGGCGCAGTGGGAGACAACCACAGGGTCACAAGACCAGTCAAAGCAAAGCAAAGCAAGCTCAGGGTGGATCTCAAGGATTCCACACAAATTCCGAGCACAAGCAAGCGGTCACAAGACCAGTTCACATGCAGGTTTATAACAAAGCAAGAGATACAGTGATCACAACCTAGCAAAAGTAAACAAGTAGGCATATATATATAGTGATCACAGTACAAGCAAGATCAAGAGGTAAGCAAGTGAGGCCCAGTAGGTACAAGGCCTAGCAGAGTGCAAAAGCGCTGATGGTCACAAGGCTGAAGCGCCTTGGTGAACACATCAGCAGTGTTGGCCTCCGTGGCCACGTAACGCAGACAAAGCTGACCACGCTGCTGCAGCTCTCGAGCAAGGAAGTACCGCAGAGCGATGTGCTTCGTTCTGTGCTCCAGTCTGTGCTCCTCACACAAGGCAATGGCAGCCTTGTTGTCGACGTACAGCACTGGAGGAGAACGAGGCCGCTCTCCGAGGTCGGTCAGCAGGTAGGTCAGCCAGCGTAGCTCCTGAGCAGCCATGGCTGTGGCGTAGATCTCAGCCTCACAACTGGAGCTGAGAACAAAAGAAGAGCGTGTAGAACGCCAAGAAACTGAGCCAGAGCCAAGGCTGAAGGTGTAACCCTGGGACGACCGCTGAGTAGCCTGGTCGTCTGCCCAAGAAGCGTCTGAGTGCCCTGTGAGAACAACCCGGTCTCGCCCTCCAAGCACAAGCCCCATGCCCGACGTACTGCACAAGTAGCGCAACACCCTCTTAGCAGCATCCATGTGCTCCTTCCGGTGACGGCCAGGAGCGACATAGCGTGCTAGGATGCTAAGAGGGTATGCAAGGTCAGGTCGAGTGCAGGTCATCAGGTACATGAGGCAGCCCACAAGCTCTGGATACGGGCCACTCGGCTCTACGGACTCATCCGAAGGCAGAGCTGAGAGCGAGTGACCGGTAGGCAGAGGAGTGGACTGAGGCGAGGAGTACGTGAAGCGGAAGCGCTGGAGAACCTGCTGCACCATGTGTGACTGAGTCAGGGTGATGGTGCGCCGTGCTCTGTCCCGGGTGATCCGCAAGCCAAGATAGCTCGTCAGCTCACCCAGGTCTGTGCACGTGTGTCTCCTCTGCAGCTCCGACTTCACGTGAGCGAGTGCCGCGGTGTCAGCAGTGGCAAAGACCAAGTCGTCGACGTACACAAGGATGTAGAACGGCGGCAGCGAGGTGTCGGTGCGTAGAAACAGCGACGGGTCAGCAGTAGAGGGAGCGAACCCAAGAGCCGCAAGTGTCGTCCTCAGTGTGTCGTGCCACTCACGTGGCGCCTGGCGGAGACCGTAGACCAGCCGCTGAAGCCTCCACTGGGTGCCAGGAGGAACTGACCCAGTGAAGCCAGGGGGGCGGCGCAGCCAGATCTCCTCGTGCAGGCTGCCCTGCAAGAAAGCAGTGCTGAAGTCAAGAGAGTGAAGCTCGTAGTCGCGGTGAGCGGCTATGTGCAGCAGCACCCGAAGAGTAGTCATCTTTGGGGTGGGGGAGAAGGTCTGAAAGAAGTCTACTCCCTCTCGCTGACTGAAGCCTCGAGCCACGTAGCGCGCCTTGAAGACAGGTGGAGAACCCGGCGGCCGCTTCACCCTGAAAATCCACATGCCACTGACGATGTTCGCCCCAGGAGGGGGAACCTCGTCTACGTAGGTGCCTGTGGACTTCCAGGAGGCCATCTCTGCGTCCATGGCTGTCTGCCACTGAGAGGAGTAGGGACCCGCCATCGCCTCAGCGTAAGAGCGTGGGGTCGGGATGTCTGGTGCATCCGGGTCTCCCTCAGGGGCAACTAGCAAGGACACGAGACGGGGCAAAGCAGCAGCAAGGCAGTGGAACTCCTCCTGTCTGTCCTCAAGGACGTCCGTGCCGAGGGCACACTCACCCCCGACGGACGGAGGACAGGTAGACGCAGACTCAGACCTGGCGACAAGGCTGGCAGCGTAGTCTAGGCGACAGCGAGCAGCAAAGTCAACCAACTCAGCGACCAGAGCAGACGCAGTAGAGGACTCAAAGGTCGGGTCAGTGACAACTGTAGCGAGGAGACGCGTAACAGTGGGACTGGCAGCACGACGGGAGTCAGACTCCGGGTCAGGAAGAGTAGGAAGAGAGGACGCAGGAGGAGACGGCAGCGGGACACGCTGCGGAGCAGTGGAGGGACGCAGAGTCATGTAGTGAGTGCCAGGGACAGGAGGAGGACGCTCACGTGGGACACGACGACCAGTGCGAGCAGTACGAACAGGCGACGCAGGACGAGACTCAGGCTCACGACGCTCTGTAAGACCTCCTGTGGGACCAGCGTAAGGGGAGGGAGCAGGGAGAGGCGAGGCAGGCGGTAACTGTGACTGTGGCTGGACAGGCAGAGGACACTCGACGGAGGGAGGAGGACTAGGAGGAGGAGCCTGACCAAGAACCTGCTGAAGGAGCGGTACGAAGTACGGTCGCGGCCGCGCAGCGTCTCCAGAAGCAGCAGGGACACCAGTGGCAGCCCCAACGCCCGAGTCCTCAGCACCAGCAGGAGCTCCAACGCCCGGGTCCTCAGCACCAGTAGGAGCTCCAACGCCCGAGTCCTCAGCACCAGCAGCAGCTCCAGCCCCCAGGTCCTCAGCACCAGCAGCAGCTCCAGCGTCCGGGTCCTCAGCACCAGCAACAGCACCACCGCTCGGGTCCGCAGCACCAGGAGCACCACTACGAAGACTGCAGCGCCGCGTGTACCACTCGCGGATCACCTGAATGGGGGGGAGCTCCTGGGTAGGAGGGGAAGTACCGGGACGAGCTCCAGAAGCACCTCTCCGGAGGCGGCAGTACTCGAGGTACCTCTCCTGCAGCTGCTGGGAGGAGAGGGCTCCTCCAGGTGGAGCACGCTCAGGCTCAGCACCCCCAGACTCAGCACCCCCAGACTCAGCACCCCCAGTCTCAGCACGTCCAGACTCAGCACCCCCAGGCTCAGTACCTCCAGGCTCCGCACCTCCAGGCTCCGCACCTCCAGGCTCAGCACCCCCAGGCTCCGCACCTCCAGGCTCAGCACCCCCAGGCTCCGCACCCTCAGACGCAGCACTCCCAGGCTCAGCACCCCCAGACGCAGGACGCGAGTCAACAGCTACCTCGACAGGCTCACCCGGGTCTACCTGGGACACACCTGAGGGAGCGGCACCCTGAGGGGGGAGGGGGTCGGGTACCTCAGCACCTGGAGCGAGGAAGAGCGGTGGGGGGGGGAGGGGGGCAGTGCGGTAGGGGAAGAGGCGGTAGAAGGGGACGGACTCGTCAAAAGTGACGTCCTGAGAGGCCAGAACCCGGCGCGAGGTGACGTGGTAAAACTGCCATCCAGGCGCGTCGGGAACAAAGCCAAGGAAGACACAGGGAAGAGCGCGACGGGAGAGCTTGTCCACAGACGTGTCGCGGACAAAAGCTCGGGATCCCCACACCCGGAAACGCGACGCATCGCCAACCTCTCCCGTCCACCGCAGAGTCGGGGAAGTCTCCGGCAAGGAGACACGGGGCCAGAGGTTGAGCTGATGCGCAGCGTACCGGACCGCAAACGGCCACAGAAAGTGGGGAGCAGCCGCATGGGTCAGGGAGGTACGAGCGACCTCCATGACTAAGCCAATGCGGCGCTCAGCAACCCCATTCTGCTGTGGAGAGGCCGGAAGCGTGTACGACTGCTCAATGCCGTGCTCAGCACAGTAGGCTGCCAAGAGGTCGGAGGCAAACTCACCACCTCTGTCAGAGTGCAAGCGCAGGACAGGAAAGTCCGAGTGAAAGCGCTCGCCTAGCTGGAGACGGGCTCGGCTGATCCAGGGGATCAAAACACCAGGGACGTCACCCTTGGCGCGCAAGGGGAAGACCGTGGTGTAGCGCGAGTAGTCGTCAACAACTATCAGGAAGTACCTCTCCTGACCCTGACCACGGACGCGGGCTGGGCCCCACACGTCCATGTGGAGCGTCTGCAGGGGAGCGGTCGTCGGGGGAAAGGAGGAGGAGTGAGGAGCGGCGCGCTGCCGCCCCTCGACACAGGGAATGCAGTCAGGAGCAGGGGAGTCAGGAAGGGGAGGGAGCACCCTGGGAAGACCAGCAACAAGGTCCCGTTTGTGCATGGCCCGCAGGCGCTGCACAGACGGGTGACCAAGGCGGTGGTGCCAGAGGACGGTGTCGTTCGCCAGAGAGCGACACGAGCAGGGGGCGGACAGCTGACCTGACGCTGACGCAGACGCAGCTACCTGAGGGGACTCA